TAATATCTGATTCCGACTTCATGAAAGCTTTCTTTAGCTACAATATTAAGGCAATTCTATGTGGGGAACATAGCAAATTAGAAGCTTCTTTTGGCTATTGTTTTGAGTGCTTATGATTGGATAAGAGGTTTAAATACAAAAGAAACTTTGTTTCAAAATAGAGTTTATCCACGTTTTATTTCAAAAATGTGTTACCCATAGGTTGATATATAATCAGTGTGAAAACCAAAGACATTCGTATGTGGGTATGTGGGGAACTAGTTGCAATGCCACAGAACAATAGAGAGTCCCCTATTTCTTAAGTGCATTGTTACTTAAGTATAGAAATTTGTAGTTAAGATTTCCATCCATTTGATTATTAATTAAACGGTTGCACTTTCACATTGACATCCATTCATTTTATTTTTTTGCTGAAATACTCTTCAAATAAAAAACATAATTAGATTGAACTCCAAAAAAGGTTTATTCTATTGTACGTARTATCCTATTGCTACCCATAAACCCAGCTGTACAACATTAGCATATATATTACAAACCTTATTCAATGGAGTGCTGTGAAACAGACTTGACAAACCAGGCTGCAAGCTTGACGATGTGCCTATAATAACATTGTAATGTTGGATTTGAGAGATTGAGAGTTTTAAAATCTTGAGACCCAGGATTTAAGCCAAGAGAATTAACAGGCCTGACTTATGTCAATAGTTCTAGTGGTTGTTATTAACCTGTGGTTTACAAATACATCATTATTATAAGACATAAAATGATTTGTTTATTTTATCACTAAAACCCAAACCCTAATTTGTAATATATCTATGTCAACCACAATGTTGCATGCGTACACGATATAAAAAAATCCTTTGTTTAGTAAACCCAGAAAACATAAAACTGGAAAAACAAAGAGAATTCATGAAAAATTTATTAAACACGAAAATATGGTTTATGACCAAAAGAAAAGAAAAGGTTTTTCTTTCAAAGTACCGAAGTATAGCTAAGTACACCCTCTTTTAACAACTAAGGATTTAAAGTATCAGAAAAAGATATTTGGTGTACTTTTCTGATACTTGTGATCAATAATAAATTAAATATAACTTAAGTTATTGAAAATGAACACTTGACAGCTATGTCGTGAAAAAACTACTTCCCAATGACAAATGATAGATTAAAATGAATTGGCTTTGACAAGGAGGCGTAAATAGGCGTAAAATCTAAAGTTACAACCTATCTGTAACTATTAAGCACACATAAGTAAGCGAAAGAGAATAGATAGCTGCATTTTAAAGTTATCAATGAAAAAGGTCATGAACTAAGTTTTGTCACTGTGTATTTCGCAYAGTGCAGTGTTCTTGGACAAGTTTTTCTTCCAGTCATACCTTTCCCTTGATCGCCAGGAAGCTGAACTCTTTTTCTGGCTCCAATATCAGTAGAAAATCCTTTGGCTGGTAATGTAGAGTATCGATGATCCATGATCGTAAAATGACCCGTTGATTCAACCGGATATTCGATCACCAACTTCGCGCGCTTTGTCTTTGAACAGCAAATTCTACGACGATTATTACTATAAGCCCAATTTAGAGCTGGAAAAATGACTTCGCAAATATCGTATATATTTTAGCAATTATTTGAAGCGTATTCCTGAGATCAACGGGTATATCAAGCCTATTAATCCACCAAAACACGTTCACCAAGATTCGTTACCACAGACGCCGTTCGCGCCTGATCGACGCTATGCAAGGCGCATGCGTATGTTTACGAACTGCCGCTGTGCTGTTCGAAAAGCGTTATCCTTAATTAAGAGGGACAAAAGAACGCTACAGGGGATTACAAAACAAACCAATCAAATTCACGGATAATACAATGATTGATGTTTAAATACCTGTCATACACGAGAGTCTGAACAGAAAACCATGCTTGATGGTTGTATTTGCATTCTTCGGTAAACAAGACGCAAAGAGGTGCTCTTCGCTGAGATTTATAACCACAAAAACATGAACCAAAAAACACCAAAAACAAAGAGCGACACGATCAACCAGTAAAACAGGTCGAACTCTCTCTTTCCATCACGTTCTTCGGGCATCCTGTGCCCCAAGATGTCTCTAATTTCAAATAAAGCTAAATATTTAGCTTTAAATATATGATATCATAAATAATATAGCTGGATTTGTCTGCACTGATCGAAAAATGAAAACCGGTTCTGATATAACTATATTTCTTTCTAGTCATCATAAAATTCACCTTTATTTGATAATGCTTAAAACCTTTGTKTGATTGTCATAAGATCCCGGGGGTACTCCCCTATATTCGCTATACGGGTACGTGCCGCCAACCAGGGTATCATTTTCAGCGATTTTACTCTGGAACAGGGTATCAATTTCAACGATTTTAGATATTTTTTACTCTGGAACAAGACCAGGGTTTCATTCCGTAATTATCGATGCTGGAACAGGGTATGGCTTCGGTGATTTTACTTTGGAACAGGGCCAGTGTCGATGATTTTACTCTGGAACAGGGTATCGTTTTCAGCGATTTCACTCTGGAACAGGGTCAGGGTTTTGAGGTCCCAGCGGCACACCCCAACACAAGTCTGGTGGAGTACCCCCCCCCCCCCCCCCCCCCCC